GTTTTCAACCTTTAAGGGTGTATACCGTACTCGCGCGAATAAGCGCCCCGTTTGAATAGGCGCCCCGTTTGAATAACTTTCATCTTCTTGCATTTTTCTATAGCCTAGTCCTACTGCTTTTCGGACAATTTGCACGTAACAACACATTCTCATCTGAGTTTTCAAAAAACCTGCAATGATCATGCAATTCTGCTAATCTCCATCGGCCAATGTCCTACAACTAACCACCACCACCACCACTAATTTCATCTGCTATTCTGCTGTTATGTTATAATGTACTCACAACATTCTTGTCATAACAAGAATTTGGTCTCTGGACCATTATTTTTTCCGCCGCACCACCATTCGTAATTTGCCATTTCCTGATGTCCTTATATAGGCCTAATCAGTTTTCATTCAAAATGTGCCTCTTGAATTTAGTAAAGTTGTCATAATAACCTATAGATTTTCATCTATTTCCATAAGCGCCCCCTCAATTTTCACTCTGTTTTGATAAGCTCCCCGTTCGAATAAGCGCCCTATTTGAATAAGTGCAAATGCAAAAAATAATAAGCGCCCGTGCGCTTATTCGCGCGAGTACGCTTTATTTAGCGCGAGTAGACCTGCAATTGTTGTTGGCGATGACAATGTTTAGAGCCACATTTTTGCAGATTTGGCATAATTTGGCCCAATCTGGCATAATTTGAGCCAGGACACGGCATAATTTAAATTTTATCGCTTGCAACGCTGTAAGCGATATGTCCAAGGCTCCAGTAGGTCTACCATGCATCATGCAACACCGACTAGTCTTACTGTAGTAGTCCTCTTATAATGAAGAGTATGGTTGAACGCCCAGAGACTTGAACCCTTTTTATAAAAATTATTATAACAGAACATGTCTAAAATAAATAATAATTAGGCTATTATCTACACAATTATAAACATTGTTACGGCCTTTGTTTGCACTGACGCGTACATTGTATATGCACCAACATAAAAACTCACACGAAATGAAATATGTTTCACTTGACGTAAATGCACAAGTATATAAACCTACGAAATCATGTTTGTCCTACCTGACGCGGTATATGTACTGAGTGCTCAGTACATTCTTAAATACTTGCAAACAATGCAAAAACAATTTCTCAAGTGATTCTATTCGGGGTTTTTAATTTATTTGGGAATGTACTGAGCGCGAGTACTGAGCATTCAATATTATACCACGTCAGGTAGGGCAAACATATTTTCGTATCATTTCCTGATGTAAATGCCATCGGAGTATATAAACCTACTCACCAAAATAAGAATGTAATACAACACTACTAAAAATAGTACGGCAGTACTCGTATAAATATACATCATATGTGTGTGTCTATATATTAGGCCTAATAAAAATAACAATTATTATTACTATAATTATAATGTAGTTGATCTTTTGTGTATCCGAATAAATAAGTATTATTGTGTTTTTAAGTTACATTCCACTTCACGGATAATGTATTCGAAATCAGAAAGAAACACACAGTTCTGTAAAAAACAGATCACAGTAAGTAACATGGTAACATTATAATTAATTGTAAAAATTAGCACACATTGTTTGTATTTTTTAAGTTAGGTTGATGCATTAGAAAACAAGTCCTATTACCTTATATAAGCAATGTTGATACTGATAATATTGGTCGTCATCATCATCATTATCGTCAACATTTGTATTATTTATTTATTGTCATTGTCATGATAATTATTAGATTTATATTACTGTGCTTATAATTACTGTATTTTACTGCATACGTCAAGAAGGCCTAAGTACACTTCGTAGGCCTACAACTTATAAGTATTTATATTTTGGTATGCGTGACTGAGATACATTCCTAAAGAAAATACGTCCTAGACCTAACTGTATACAGCATTTGTTTTGTATTATAGCCTAATCATTATTCAATTCAAAAATAGGCCTATGTATTTCAGAATTATAATAAGAGGAGAGCTAAGTCTGTGGTGTTCAACACTCTTCATCCTCGCCATGTCCCTATCGCATCACACGTCATCAGCACTTACTGTATAGAAACCGCTCTGACAATAAGAAAAGTACAATAAACATTCATGATTTACTGCCGAATCATAAAAGTGATATTGTGAATTTATAGCGCCACCAATATCCACTGCCTCAAACGTCAAAAAAAAAAAAAAAAAAAAAAAAAAAAATCGCAGCCGGATTTATCCACTTAGTATGTAGTAGTCCTTAATGTAGTATTCTTATAAATACAGTTACTGTACAAAGAAAACAAGTAACTATTCTATTCTTCTCTGCAATAAACTACAACAGGTAAAAAAAATGTCAATAGATGTAACTGGTGTGAAAAGAGTAGCACTAAACCAACTGTAATTATAATTGTACTATTTTGGAGTTTTGGAGATATTAAGCACAACGTTTAATTTATTTTGCCCTAAAATATGTTTTAGTATTTGATTTCATGGTTAATGTACTCCAATAGACAAATAATGTCTATTTCAGTGTAGCTCACATTTTTTTTCTATAAATATTGATTTTTGTCAGTTATGCCCTTTTGCCGTGGGTTTTCTGACTTAAGACATATTGGCAAACTTTGACAAAAGGATATAAGTACACATTTTAGTTACTTTCAACGCAATTTGAAGTCAGATTATTCAAAAATGCATTCAATATATAATTTCATATGTTAGATATGTATAAACTATAAAAAAAAATGTACAATAATACCAAAGAAACGCATTAAATAGTAAATACTAAAATTACAAACGATTAAACACCCATGTATAGGCTAACCAAGTATACCAACGAGAAAGAGAATTAACAATAGTATGCTGTTATATATCAACAAAGCCTTTTAGGCTCAAGGTGCTAGATCGAGGACACTGTGGGTAGGGGGCCTTAGGGTACCCCTAGGCGCCCTGCACAAAAACGCACAGGCGCATAGGCGTTACGTCACTGCGTGAAAGATGCATGCGTATGTGAAATAGAACTGTTGTTTAGTTAGTATGCGCGTGTGCCTGTTTCTACAAGTACGATAAACAAGCATTACAAATAAAAATATTGTTTTTTTTTTTATATTCTAATAAAACATTTAGAAAATGTATTATATATTTAGATTTAGATAGAAAAGTAAGTTTTCGTATGCTTAGTGAACACAGTTCATTTGAGTAAACTGTACTTTTTGCCATGTTTTGTTATAAATAAACAAAGTAGTAGTGCCTTTTTGCCGTGGTTATTTGCTGAATAAATGTTGTAGTTGTGCCACCTTGTCATAGTTATTTGCTAAATAATCGTTTTAGTTTTCACACTTTGCCAATGTTATTTCTAGTTAAAAATGTGAATTGTTATTCTGCAATGGTTAATTATTGTTATTAAATAGTCATTCCGATGACTTTAAATTATAAGATTGATGCGAGTGAGGTGTTATTTTCAGCAGGGAAGAGGCATGGGATATTAAACTGATAGTACGAAAATCAGTACATTTTGAATCCTTTGATACTTTTAGTATAGTAAAGAAACTGCTGACCAAAAAGTCATCAGGTAAAGGCGCCTGAACTGTAGATTAGGTTGATTAGTCTGGTCAACTGGTGTAAGCCATTTTGTCTCAAGCTTTTTCAAAGATTCCGTTGGTATTATCTTCGCCTGGAGCTTTGTTTATAGGAAGTTGTTTAATGGCCTCTACAATTTCATTTTGAGAAAGTCTCGGTGTTGTTGTTGTAATCAGGAACTCCCTCATTTCCCATCTTGTATCATGAAAAAGCTCTTCGCCTATGTACTTCTCCTATCTATTTAAGATGTCTTCTTCATTGTGTAGTAGTACCCCTCTCTCGATTGAATTCCAGGTTGACTCTGTGTTTTTCAGTTTAAACGTTTTTATCTTCATGATGAAGTTTGACACTGTTTAGCCTGTCGAGGATTTCTAGGTCCTCACAAAGCTGCTGATAGTACTTTTCATTTGCCTTTCTACATCTCTCTGTATATCTTGATTCAGCTTTTTTTACTCCATTCGATAAATCTTTATTTATTTTTAATTGAAAATAATAATAATAATAATAATAATAAAAATAATAA